TCCCTGGTACAACTTTGTCACAACTGGTCTGCACACCTTCTCGAGTTCATTCTGCTGGTGCTCATACTCATCTTTCTCTGCAAGCTGGTTGTTCTCCAGCCAGGAAATCGTCTGGTTGCACTTGTCAATGACCATCTTTTTATCCTCTTCGCTAATTTTACCTTTCAGACTCTCATCCTCAACACTGCTCTTCATCTGGTAGGCATAGGACTCCAGCGTGTTCTTTGCTGCAATCTTGTCTCTCTGAATGTCATCGTCATCCTTGTACTTCTCAGCATCCTGCACCATCCGCTCGATCTCTTCTTTGCTGAGGCGGCCTTTGTCATTGGTGATGGTGATTTTGTTTTCTTTGCCGGTGCTTTTGTCGATGGCGGATACATTTAGAATGCCGTTGGCATCGATGTCAAATGTTACGTCTATCTGTGGAACACCTCGGGGAGCTGGAGGGATACCTGTGAGGTCAAATTTGCCCAGAAGGTTGTTGTATTTGGTCATGGCTCTCTCGCCTTCAAATACCTGAATCAATACACCTGGCTGGTTATCTGAGTATGTGGAGAAGATCTGAGTCTGCTTTGTGGGGATTGTGGTGTTTCGCTTTATCAGAGGTGTCATAACACCGCCTGCGGTTTCAATGCCCAGAGACAGGGGAGCGACATCCAGCAGCAGCAGATCTTGGACATTCTCTGAGGTGTCGCCCATGAGGATGGCTGCTTGTACTGCTGCACCGTAGGCTACAGCTTCATCTGGGTTAATGCTCTTGTTCAGGTCTTTGCCATTAAAGAAGTCCTGTAAGAGCTTCTGGATTTTGGGAATTCTTGTGGAGCCACCGACCAGGACAATTTCATGAATCCTGGATTTATCCAGCTTGGCATCCTGCAGGGCTTTCTCGACTGGGCCAAGTGTTCCCCTGAAAAGATCTGAGTTGAGCTCCTCAAAACGTGCCCTTGTGATGGAGGTGTAAAAATCAATTCCCTCAAAGAGAGAGTCGATCTCAATGCTTGCCTGAGTGCTGGAGGATAAGGTCCTCTTTGCCCTCTCGCAAGCTGTACGCAATCTCCTCACTGCTCTCTTATTCTGGCTAATGTCCTTCTTGTGTTTTCTTTTAAATTCCTCTACAAAGTGCTTGACCATTTGGTTGTCAAAGTCCTCCCCACCAAGGTGTGTGTCTCCTGAAGTGGCTTTGACCTCAAAGATGCCAGCTTCAATGGTCAGAATAGACACATCAAAGGTGCCTCCGCCAAGATCAAAGATCAGCACATTGCGTTCTCCTGTTTTGCCTTTATCCAGGCCATATGCAATGGCTGCTGCTGTGGGCTCATTAATGATCCTCAGAACATTTAGTCCAGAGATCACCCCAGCATCCTTCGTAGCTTGTCTCTGTGAGTCGTTGAAATAAGCTGGCACTGTGATGACTGCGTTTGACACCCTTTGTCCCAGGTAGGCCTCAGCTATCTCCTTCATTTTAACCAGGACCATGGAGGAAATTTCCTCAGGATAGAATGCCTTGGTCTCCCCTTTGTATTCCACCTGGACTTTGGGCTTTCCATTATCGTCAATCACCTTGAAAGGCCAGAGCTTCATGTCGGACTGTACGACTGGGTCATTAAACTTTCTTCCAATCAGCCGTTTGGCATCAAAGATTGTGTTATTGGGGTTCATTGCAACTTGGTTCTTGGCAGCATCTCCAATAAGCCTTTCTGTGTCGGTAAAAGCCACATAGCTTGGAGTGGTTCTATTGCCCTGATC